TATTGTATTAATAAGATTCACTTGGAATATATACTAACGGATTATTACCTATATATATATATATATATATATATATATATATATATATATATATAGATAGATATATAATAGATAGATAGATAGATAGATAGATAGATAGATAGATGTTACTCCTTTCCTTAAGCCGGCGATTCTCGAGATTAAAAAGAAAGAAAATGAGTAACTCTTAAAAAAGTCGTTAATATTGATTCTGGTATCTTTTCTTTAGAATTTTTAGTTTAAGTCGAATGTTAATGTATTTTCGCAGGTTTTTCGTATCGATTTAAGGACTTTTTTTTTAAGCGTTTCACCCCAAGCAAGGCGGAAAGCCACTAGGGCGCAAGGGGTTACAGAAAATTTGAAGCAAGATCAGATAGGAGTGATAGAAGAAAGGATGAGGAGAAGAGTAGTGGATAGATCAAGGCAACTGGAGATACAGAGGCCAGTGAGAGAGAGAGAGAGAGAGTACCGGAAACCCCTTCCTAAACAAGAAACAAGGCGTAAACCTCTACTCATGTCCAAGAGAAGGGAGAGGAGTGTGGACCTGGCGGTAGGAAAGCCTACCTACTCTTATTTCATCTCTTTATCAGAATGGTCTGAAAGCAAAAAATTCGTTTAGGATTTTCTGAAGATAGAATAAAAAAAACAATTCATCATTTTTCAATATGTATATATATATGTGTGTGTGTATGTGTGTGTGTTTGTGTTTGTGTGTGTGTGCATATGTGTGTGTATGTAAAAATTTCTCAGAATTAACCTGTAGAAAAAAAGACAATATCTATAAGTTAAAAAAAAATAAAATAAAATAAAAACTAAAAACAGGAAAACTTTTAGCCGACGCGTATCGCCCAATGTGGACAAAAAACGAAAGGAAAGAGTATCTTTCGACACCAAACAAAATGTCGTTTGCAAGTAGAAAGATTTAGAATCGTTAGTGTATATTCATATGGTCAACTGAAAAATTACGTCAATTACTTTATGTTTGAAGAGAATATTTTTTGAAGAGAATATTTTCACGTGTAGAAATAATGTTTGGATTGTTGTATTGATGGATTCAACCGTTTTCTTTTGATTTCTTGATATATTTGTTGTGTACGTTCGCTTGGGATTTTAGTGATTCTGTTCCTTCAGAAGGAAAATCCTCGAGAGTGCCGCCATTGAATATTATTCAAATAGTTTGTCTCATTTGTGTTCATAGATTTTCCCCAATATAACGATTGACATTGTATTCACATTTTTGAAGTGAGTTCTACAAGCGATAGGTGCAAGAAATATTAATATATTTAACATAATATAATGTTTTTTTGTTTTTTTTTTTTACAACTAATTTAAAACAATAAGAGATTAACAGAACCAGTATAATAAAAGCCAAAATCCTGAAGCGGGAATATATGCTACACACTGCATTAAATATCACCTGAAAAGAATACGCGAGACATGCATGAATATAAGTAAATAAAGCAATACTAGTTTTTTCTCTGATTAAAGCTGGTTATAAGAACAACAGAAAGTTTCATCTGTAATCTTATAACATTCTTTTCATTCGGCTTTATTTGCCTTCACTCAATTTTCTCTTTTATTCTTTCTTTCTTGCTTTCTTTCTTTCTTTCTTTCACTTTACATTATTTTCTTTCTTTCTTTCATCATTTTTTTCATTCGGTCTTGTTTGCCTTCTCTCAGTTTTCCTTTATCTTCATTCTTTCTTTTTCCTTTCTTTCTTTCTTTCTTTTTTTTTCTACTACTTGTTTCATTCTTCTCTCAGTTTTCCTTTATCTTCATTCTTTCTTTTTTTCCTTTCTTTCTTTCTTTTCTTTTTTATTTTTTTTTTCTTTTCTTTATTTTCATTCAGTCTTGTTTGTATTCTAAATTTTCATTGTTTTTTCATTCATTCATTCATTCATTCTTTCCTTTCTTTCATCTTTCTTTCTTTCTATTGTTTCTTTTTTTGCCCTTTTTCCTTCAATTCTTTCATTCTTTCTTCCTTTTTCTTATACACTGATTTCATTCGCTTTCCTTCGCCTTCTCTCAATCTTCTTTCTTTCTTTCTTTCTTTCTTTCTTTCTTTCTTTCTTTCACTTTACATTGCTTCCTTTTTTTCTTTTCCTCATTATTTTCATTCAGTCTTGTTTGCCTTTTCTAAATTTTCCCTTACCTTCTTTCTTTCTTTCTTTCTTTCTTTCTTTCTTTCTTTCTTTCTTCCACGTCTTTCTTTCTTTCTTTCTTTCTTTCTTTCTTTCTTTCTTTCTTTCACTTTACTTCTTCCTTTTTTTTTTTCCTCATTTCTTCCACCTTCTTTCTTTCTTTCTTTCTTTCTTTCTTTCTTTCTTTCTTTCTTCCACGTCTTTCTTTCTTTCTTTCTTCCACGTCTTTCTTCCACGTCTTTCTTTCTTTCTTTCTTTCTTCCACGTCTTTCTTCCACGTCTTTCATTCTTTCTTTCTTTCTTTCTTTCTTTCTTCATTGTTTTCATTTGGTCTTGTTTGCCTCCTCTCAATTTTCCCTTATTCTCTTTCTTTCTTTCTTTCTTTCTTTCTTTCTTTCTTTTTTCTTTGTACAGACAAACATACATACATACATACATACAAACATATACATATCCTTTTAATGCAATCTTCTTTGGCATTTTTCTTTGCTTTCTGTTTTTCTTTCTTACCCTTAATTATAACAGCGGCGTGTCGGAATGAAGCCAGTGGTATTGAGCTGTGTGTGAAATTCTGATGCTTGAAAGATAGCCGGAAAGTTGTCATTATATTGGCTCCTTGGAGAGAAAGTCGTTGCTTTTGGGCCACGCCAATACAAACTAAAACAATTTTCAACTTAACATTGCAAATACTCAACTTCGCAGCTGCAGTCATGTGTTCCATTCAAATTCCTGCAAAAAGTCACTTTCGCCCTACCCCAGTACCCACAAAATCATTTGAGTTTGATATGGATCATATTTTAAAGACGAGTTAGAGCTTGATTTAACTTTAAACCCATGAGCGGCATCCATATCTTTCACAAAATATGGTAAATGTATCAAATACCTTTGTTCATTTATCCTCAGAAACAAAGAAAACCGTACCCAAATTCTGTATGAAAATAGTCCTGCTTTATATTGGACAAATGATGTGGCGACATGAGGCAACAAAGATCTGATTCTACAGAAGGATACTGAGAATCCCTGGAGAATATCTCTAGGATATGACGGTAGGAGATGTCAGCTAATCCCCAAGCCGCATTTGTGATCCCTTGCTCCTGATGACCGAAGGCAAACAGAACCGAATGAAAATAATGAAGAATGAACGAAAGGAAATAATGTAGAAAGAAAGAAAGAAAGAAAGAAAGAAAGAAAGAAAGAAAGAAAGAAAAATCATCCTGGATAACCGGGAACGAAAGGAAAAATGTAGAGGAAAGAAAGAAAAAGAAAGAAAGAAAGAAAGAAAGGAAAAATCATCCCGGATAACCGAGAACGAAAGGAAACAATGTAGAATGAAAGAAAGAAAGAAAGAAAGAAAGAAAGAAAGAAAGAAAGAAAGAAAGGGAAATCATCCCGGATAACCGGGAACGAAAGGAAACAATGTAGAGTGAAAGAAAGAAAGAAAGAAAGAAAGAAAGAAAGAAAGAAAGAAAGAAAGAAAGAAAGGAAAATCATCCCGGATAACCGAGAACGAAAGGAAACAATGTAGAGTGAAAGAAAGAAAGAAAGAAAGAAAGAAAGAAAGAAAGAAAGAAAGAAAGAACGAAATGGAAATCATCCCGGATAACCGGGAACGAAAGGAAACAATGTAGAAAGAAAGAAAGAAAGAAAGAAAGAAAGAAAGAAAGAAAGAAAGAAAGAAAGAAAAAAAATCATCCCGGATAACCGAGTTTTTCTCGGTGTCTGTAACACTAGCTCAAGTATATGTTCTGCTGCTATAGTTAATGGGCAACAATCGCATTTAGTAATCATCTACCTGGAGTAAATTTTTGAGACTTTTATTCAGTGAAAAATAGTAATGGTTTGTTTAGGTTTATTTTGTTTAGCATATGAACTTCTAGGGGTTACTTAATGCCGAAATGAATATATATTATACGCAATTTTATGCTTTCAGGGCAACGTTCTGTGTGTTTTATTTCTGTTTTTTTTTAGATATATAATTTATAGATCATAAAACGTATTTTTGGTAATTTTACTGTAAAATTTATTTTTATATTTTTTAACGTTGCATTGGTTGTCATTTTGCTATAAAAATCTATTGTTGCTCATTTTATTATCAAAAATGTAAGTTGAACTGTTATTTAGGGGAAGGAAAGACATGTCTACCCAGCAGTGTTTACCCATCATTCAATCGGTTGAAAGGTAGGTAAACACTTGCGTCGTGTTTTGCTATTGGTTGTCTTATAAATACAATAAATTCATGCAGAAAAACACCAACTGTGGCCTAAAAAGACTCTCTTTTCAAGGTTGTGAAGTCTTTAGTACGCTGCACATTTTTTTTAGCATTTCACCCCAAGCAAGGCGGGGAGCCACTAGCACACAAGGGGTTACAGAGAGTTGGAGCAATAGCAAATAGGAGTGATAAAGGAAAGGATGACGGGAAGGTTAGGGGATAGATCAGGGCATCTGAAGACGTCGATTGACGTTACATTTGAAGAATTGGAGATTATAGATACCAGGGAAACAAGAAAAGGGGAGGGAGATCCACTGGTGAGAAGTGTGAGACATGAAGCTATTGGAGTAGAAGAGACGGCTACATTTAACAGTTTCAACAGTGAAAGGGTGAGAGCGAGATGCCAGCCTCATTGAACATTTAAATCCATGAAGTCTGGGAACCAGCGAAAGCAGCTCCCCAGAGCAGTTACCGTAAAAGTATTTGTAAGAAAGACAAAGGGAGTCAACGACACGTCTGTGAGAGAGCGACTGCAGACGAGATGCCAGATCAGGTGTATCTTTTCAATGCCGTGAAGTCGTCAGTCCGCTGCACAACACGCCAGCGCTTCTTGTGCATCAAGAGAGGCAGCACCTGATGAGTAGACTGGGACAGAAAGAAAGAATTCTGGCAAGAAAGTGAAGTCATGCAACCATACTCTATCTCTGATAAGTATAATGCTTATATTTTTTGTAACTATTCTTTTATATCTACCGTGAAACATTACATACCAATTATTTGCGAATTTTGACTCAGGAGCTCGGAAGGGTTAAAATTGTTCAGGAATGCAGTTCTCACAGGGTTAAACAGACTTTTGGCCCTCATTGTTGACCTCAGTGTTCATTATTATATTTAAACTCGATCTATCCTTGATATTCGGCAATTTTACCCGTAAATATAACATAGCTTAAAACTATATATTTCTCATGTATATATCATAAAATCATTTCTCGCTTGTGAAAATTTCTTCTTCCTTCTTGCTTTCCAATCAGTTTTAATATTCAAAGATTTACATGCGGTGTCAATCGTTATCTTCTATCTTTTTCAAATCCCTGTTCTTTTATTGTCCTATCTCCTTAACCCTGCTTTTGTCAATTTGTTCAAGTACTCGTAATTCTTAGTTGATAATTTCTTTCTTTTGCTTTCTCCCACTTCGTTCCTGACTCAGTGAGAGTAAATATATATATATATAGTAAATATATATAATCACACACACAGAAACACTCATATATGTAAATATAAAATGATCTGAAGATTGCATTTAAGTATTAACCCTTTGTGCCCTGACCACCGCTTTACCGGTGGTAGAGAAAAGTGATTTAATGTCCAGCCACCGGTTAAACGGTGGGTAAACATTTGCGTCTTGTTTTGCTATTGGTTGTCTTATAAATACAATAAATTCATGCAGAAAAACACCAACTGTGGCCTACAAAGATTCTTTTCAAGGCTGTGAAGTCTTCAGTCCGCTGCACAACATGCCAGCGCTTCTTGTGCATCAAGAGAGGCAGCACCTGATGAGTAGACTGGGACAGAAAGAAAGAATTCTGGCAAGAAAGTGAAGTCATGCAACCATACTCTATCTCTGATAAGTATAATGCTTATATTTTTTGTAACTATTCTTTTATATCTACCGTGAAACAATACATACCAATTATTTGCGAATTTTGACTCAGGAGCTCAGGAAGAAGAGTTAAAATTGTTCAGGAATGCAGTTCTCAAAGGGTTAAGAATAACTATGGCATACGCGTTCGAGAATGGTGAAATCTTAATTTTGAGCTTAGGCGGACAGGACGACGTGAAAGAACTGAGTAGCCATCACGATCACAAGACCAAACTCCACCAGTCTTTTTCTTATGGGGGTGTACTTAAAGTTCTTGTTTACAGGCTCAAATCGAAAACAATTCCTGAATTACAGCAGTATTTTCTAATAAATTTTCTGAAATTGATGTAGAAGTGTGTCAAATGGTTTAGAGAAGTGTTGCTGATAGATTTCAGCGTTGTATTGAACATGAGCATTTTGAACATGCTAAATAGTTTGTTAACCATAACAATTCCTGTTGTTTTGATGTGACAATATTTATAGATTCTCTTAAACTGCTGTAATCTATTTATGTTCTATAAAAGTTAACAAATAAAAATTACTTTTGACGAACCCTTTCTCCAGAGAGAAAAAATAAAAAAATGAACGTTTCCTGTTTTTACAGCAAAGGAAGTTTACACGTACGGTCTTCCGTAGCGAAAATCGCCAATGGTTTAAAATGATGAAAGAGTTATCATCAACAAGGGGTTGCAAAATTCAAGTAAAATATATTTGTGTCCTGGTTATGACGATAAACTACATCCGGCAGCATGGCCTCTAACCGGGAGGTTTTGAGAAGCGCGGAACCACCTCTTAATTGCTGTTGTTCCCAGGTCCACCCTGACCCGGGGCAGTAGCACCTGGTAGGGTCCCAGCTATGGGAATATAGTTAACCCGCAAAATGGGGCCAAAACACTGAAAGTGTACACAATTTTATAGGAAAAATACCAGCAATACATTTTCAAAGTAAAAAAATTATCTGTTATACAATACGTTTCTTGTTTAAAAAAAAATTACCAACAATATATTTTTCGTAAAAGAAATTACTAATGGTCTCAAGAAATTAGATTTCGGCATTAAATGACACATAAATAGGTGATATGCCGCTAAATAAAGAATATATTTAATAATTCTTTATGTATGAATGAGTGTGAGTGAACAATATTTTATAGGTTATCCAACATTTGTAAGTTAATAAAACCAGAAAAATAATCTTTGGTTGTAAGAATTGTTTTGGAGATACATAGTATTTAACCCATTGCTTGGAAGAGAAGAGGTGAATTCATATTCCCAAGGGTATTTGCGCGTAATTGAATATAACAAATCAGGATGAGATTCGAACTCGGCTCTCTAAGTTCCAATTCTGAGCCATTATCCATTACACTACCCGTGCATCCAATCTTAAAGTAGCTGGTATTCCCAAACGGTCAGCCATCTAGGTACTGACCAGGCTCGGCATTGCTTAACTTCGGTGTTCGGACGAGGGCCGATGTTTCAGAGTGATATGGCCGTAAACGCGTGATCGAACAAGGGAGAATTAAATTAAACCAACAAAATTTTAATAAACGCCATTTTCTTCATTACATGAGGCGTGCCACTCAGAAAGCGAATCGGGACGCATGGGACCCATGGGTCGCAATTTGCCCATAACTGGTCTATACCTATAGACGCTCTTTGTCCAATATCAAGCGCTATTCTCTCATAAATATACCACATTTAAAACAACATATATATATATATATATATATATATATATATATATTTGTGTGTGTGTATATATATATATGTATGTGTGTGTATATATATATATTGATATATATATATATATACACACACACACACACACACATATATATATATATATATATATATATATATATATATATATATATATATATATATATATATGTGCGTTTGTTTACATATCCGATTGAACACCTCTTTCGCTACCGATAATCGTAATTAGATTCCAGAGGCACCATCTTTCTTCTGGGGGGAATATCGCACGAACCCCAAGCCGAGACGTAAAAATCTCTTTTGGCTCCATCTAAAATAACGCGTTAGGGCGCATTCACTTGGTTTTGTTTCGCCACCCGCTATATTAAGCGAGTGGCAAATGCTGATATCAGATACATTTTTTTTCCCTTGCTGCCCTGTTTGCCATTCTTTTTTATGAGGGAGCTGACCGGATTCGAAGCGCCTTTTGTCGATTACAATCAGTGATAAGAATATTACTTTTCTCAGTAAGATTACAGAATGACAAATCGGCCTCTGGATTGCCCGAATGTTTTTGAGAAGTTTCATTTTTATACACTAAGCAAACGGTTTCAAATTCAATCATCTTATTGTCAGTTGGACATCTTTTGAAGTCATTTCAACCCAAGCAAGGCTATAAAGTCACTAAGACGCAAGCGGTTACGCAAGTGTGACAAAACGTGAGAAAAAGAAAAAAAAAATATTATGGCGAGAGAACAATAAGACAGAAGATAACTATAGATATTGCATTAAAATGGAAACATGTTCCCTGAGTTAGAAGTGCGAGAGAAGAGACTATTAGTATAGAACTTACGGTTACATTTAGTCCAGGCATGGACAATCTTTTCCGACTATTGGACCGCACAAGACAACCGGCACAACTAAAAAGATTCAGAGTAAATTTTTGCAGGAGGTACCTCAGCTATTTTCAATACTGATACTATCATATGTGTAAGCATATACCTTAGAAATTGGGGAAAAAAATTAATTAAATTATTAAATAAATATTACATTGAAATATAATTAAAAAAGTTGAAGACTTTGTATAATATTATGTTAATATTGTAATAATATTATATTATTATTATAATATATTATTAATATTATACTGTTATGATATTATTATTACAATATAATATTAATTTTTATAATATTAGGATATTATTATTATAATATTATATTAATGTTATAATATACTTTTATTATGTAATATGTTAAAATATTATAATATTATGATACTATTATTATATCATATTCATGTTATAATATTATAATATTACAATATCAATTATGATATTGTTATATCATATTAATGTTATAATATAATACTATGATATTATTATAATATAATATTAATGTTATAGTTGTATATTATTATGATATAATATCGTATTAATGATATACTATTATAATATATTTTTATTATAATATAAGATTCATGTTATAATATTTCGATATTATTACTATGATATCACATTAATGTTATAATATTATAATATTATGTGATTATTTTTACAGTATCAATTATGGTTATATTATTTATAATATCATATTCATCTTATGATATTATAATATCATATTATTATTATTATTATTATTATTATATATAATCCTATACTTGTAAAATAATATGATATTATTATTATTATTATTATTATTATTATGTTAATGTTATAATATTGTAAAACCATTTTCCCCGAAGCCAATTAATACATATTACTGTATGTGATTTATTTCCAAATAAATTCCAATTTGAATTCCAGCCGAATCCATTACATTCACTTACGTGCTAATACCTATGGGAAAGGTATTAACCCTCTTCTTCTTCTCCCACACAGCTATGGGTAAATAGCAGTGCAGACTGGGTTCTTTAGCCTTGGATGGCAACTGGTCTACCGCAGAAAGAAATAGCAACCTACTGCCGGAAAAAAACCTGTCTAGTGAGTCATGTATTGAATTAAGCATGTATCACTCATGGCACATAACTGAATCGGAGGGCCGAGTTCGAATTCTAGTCGAATCCATTACATTCACTTACCCTTGGGAAATGCATGAATCCTCGTCTTCTCCATCCAGCTATGTGTAAAGACTGGATGGCAACAGCACTAGAAGGAAAACTCTGAATTCAAAACCGGCCTGGAGGCAAAACTAGATGGAGCCTTGCAAGGCAACATATCTAGGGGAAGTTTTCCTCCGAAATATATCCTTACGTCCTTGCATGTTGCTTATCTTGTGGCAGCTTTTTCACTAGAAAGCAGATAGCGGACAGAAGAGAGTGAGTATGCACAAACCTGAAAACTCGAGAAATCTTATTAAAAGAGAGCGCATACTTAACTTTAATGAAAATATATATATATATATATATATATATATATATATATATATATATAAATATTATTATTATTATTATTATTATTATTAATGATGAACATTTTCTTTTTTATTAACGACTAGTAACAGAGCCCGGCGTTGCCGGGGATGTAACAGTAAGAGATAGATCAGGTATCGACCTTCATAAAGACTGAAAAATAAAACTGACAAAGATTTTCCACCCACATTTTACACAGATAAAGCTCTTCGTTGTGTGTGAGCTGTACTCGTGTGTACAATTTGTTGTATTTATTTAAAGCGTAGACTACCAGGGATCCTTTCAATGAAGTCGATCCGAATCTTTGACAACCATACCGAGGGCTCCAACTGGAATTATTGATGTCCTCATGTGCCACGTTCTTGAGATTTCAACTTCAAGATCTTTGTATTTTGACAATTATCTGAAGAATTTCAAGGATGCATTGCGATCTGCAGGGACTGTCATGTCTATAAGAAAGTACATTCTGTTGTTGTGGCCTTTGACCACAATGTCTGGATTTGATTGTTCTGTCTGCATGTAAAGTCACATAAAATTGGTATAAGTCCTATCTATCTAACCGAGTTAGGGTGGTATTCATATCAATTACTTGCAGTGTCCTTCTTGGAACATGTGCATATTTCCAGTGCAGACATTGGCCCACTATATCAAGCAGATTTTTATATTCAGTTTTATATCATTACTAGCAGTAGAGTCCGGCGTTGCACTGGGATGTAACAGTAAAAGATAGATCAAGGATCGACCATCATAAAGACTGAAAAATAAAATTGACAAAGATTATTAGTTAAGGTTGACGGATACGCATGTCTTAATTAGATTTTTTTAATTTTGTTTTTGTTTTTTTTTACGAATTGGTTAAACCCAAACTCAAACAAAAACATTGTTTTCAATCGTTATGAGTCTATCGATTGAATAGAATTTTATTATAAACAATTGTCTTGTAAATGGAATTTTTAAAGCATTCTGAATGTAAAAATAAAGAAAAAAGTGTGCAAGACAATAAGAAACACTACCTGCCAAAAAAAAAATGAAGTTTTGTTGAAATCGGTTGAAAAATGTAGGAAATCCGATCCAATATATAAACGTATAGACACACACACACAGACACACAACCTGGGTTTTATAATACGTATGATGTCATCACAATATTTCTGTTAAGCTTGGAGAGTAATTATATATTCTCATTGCTCAAAGTAGAGTCTAGTAGTGTTATAAAAACCTCGTAGAATTGCAGTAAGATAATTTTAATCATTTCTAAGATACAACGACGATTCAGAGCTTAATCTAACATTTGGACAATTTTGCTGTTACACGATTTTGACAATTTTTCTGTTACACAACTTCTCTCACTCCTCTCTCTCTCTCTCTCTCTCTCTATCTCTGTATATATATATATATATATATATATATATAGAGAGAGAGAGAGAGAGAGAGAGATTTCATTAAAAGGAAAATATGCATTCCCTTTAATAAGATTTCTCGAGTATTCAGGCCGGTAGATATTAAAACTGTTGATGATATATATATATATATATATATATATATATATATATATATATATATATATATATATAACTGGTTCAAAATAGGGTTTCATCGCTACACAGTAATGACCATGTTTCAAAAACTGAATTTAAAAACTTCAAATTTAATTATATAATTAAATTAAACGCATTAGTTCTGTTTCATCTTCAAACGAATTTTTGAATAACTTATTTTTAAATTTACTGAGCTTTAAACGCACACATAAATTCATAATTTCCTGTTTCCAAGGATACAGAGAAATCCAATCATTCAGACAGGGGCGGTAGCATGTTCATCATTATTAACTATTGTTGTATCAATTATGAGTTACTTTCGAAAAAGAGGTTAAGTTTAGGGAGGGTAGGGGTGTATTTTTTCAACGAATTCTGACATTCCTAAAATGCATATCGATTTTTTTTTTTTTTTATTAACGATAAAAAGTTTTTCGGGATTTTTCTTCGTTAAATTGGTACTTGTCTACTTAAAGTTTCTTTCTAAAAGGTGTATTGGGTCTAGAATACGTTATATTTAACCACAATTTTAAAATATTATTTTTACTCTTAATTACTAATAGACTAATATTTATTTTAAATCAAGTAAATGTAATAGAATTACTTAAATTATTTAAAAATTATTTTTTTATATAAAATATAAGTATGTATATTACTAGCTCCCATTGTTTTATTTTATTTTTAAATATTATTTAAGGAAAATATTTGACAATGATGGCAATGAATAAATATTTCATTTCTTTGATTCAGTAAATTTTAATTTTCATAAACTTCGTAATATATACTTTCTCATGTATGCACAAAGGACATGGGTCATTTAATGACCTACATATTCTAGCTTTTCTTATTAATTTCC